TAGAGGGGCAGGGATTGCTTTGCTAGGTCGAGGATTTCAAAGGTGATGTGACGCGGGTCTGTGTCTATTGTTTTGTTGTGGTTTGTTGGGATCGTCGGGTCGGAGGTGAGGACGTCATAGACGTACTGCGTTATTGTGGGGTTAAGGCGCGGGCGGCGCGTGCTGCTGGTAACTATCGCGACCCGTTTGGCGGGCATTTTTTGAGTATGAAGTAGGTACTCCGTCCCTCCTGGGAGATACTTATGACTGAGTGGGAGAATGGTTTTTATCAGAGGTTTCGTGGGAGCCTGTGCAATCGGGGATGTGGATATGGCAGCTCGGAAGTCGGAGATTAGAAAGCTTTCCACATTTGGATTAGAACAAATCAGAATAGACTATGACGATGGATGTTTTTGACCCAAAAATCCATATTATGTAGTCGACGTCAAATCAAAGATAGTCTAACAGAGCAGTGAGAAACATCAAGAACGCCCACGAGAAATCTGGAAAATGAACCAAATCAGCCCAAGGAAGATTCAACAGCATCTATCTCAGACACGAAGGTGCGGTCTCGAAATGGATCTCTTCTAGAATCCCATGAACCACGACTATATAACCAAGAATCAAGCGCAGGACATAAAGCAATGAGTCTGCCCCTGCGTACCTATCTCTTCCAACGCTGGATCCGGTCTCCGCAGCCAGTTAGCTAGCATATTGGTACAATGATCAACATGCTCCAGATCCCCGAGCATGTTATCCAGGCGAGCACCACGCATGTGGACATCATGACCTCGTCGAAGGAGATACAGACAGTGGACCAGATGCTCACGGACAGCAGTCCAATAGAAGTCCGGGTTATTTCCGAGTTCAGTGTAGTCCTTCATCTGCTTTGTAGCAGCCTCATCATAGAAATAGACAAACGGCTTGCCATGATTAAAATGCGCAAACTCGTGCGTGAAGTCATGCGGACATTCCTTGTGCAGCCAGCAGCCAGCAAGAGGATCGTAGGCGCAGCCGAGGGCTTCGGCTTCCTTGGTTGAGTTTCCGCACGAGTATCTTACTCGTGGAGCTGGTGGTAGGCATTGTCGTTGGCCTTTGAGGGACTCGGGATATGCGAAGGAGTCAGAGGATGGCCCTTTTACGACAAGTACCTTGTGGAAGGGATTCACGGTGATGGCTGTGATTACGGCAACTACTAGGAGTAGTAGGACCATGAGTAGACCGGTGATGGTGATTGTAGCGAGGTTTCGTTTCAGAAATTGCTGGAAGCTCCGGCGGGACGGTCTGTTTGTGATGGTGGCATCGCTGTCGCCATCGGCATCCCCTTTGGGGACCGGGTCGTAGTCGTGAGAGAAGACCTTGTCCATAATGACAGATTTCGTGACGACGTGGGAATTATTCGTGGAATCGAAGAGGAGAGAGAGGTCTCATTTCCCCGGGAGAAGTGGCCAGTAGCTACACATGATCCTGATTGATAATGAAGTCTTATTGACCTCAGAGTCGGGACAAAGAGCAGATGAACAGGTGAATGCTATAGATAACCCAATGGAGATATCAATAAGGCGTGGAAGCAATAAGACAGTCACAGATGAGTCATTCAATAGAAATCATGTCCGAGCGGAGAGTTCAACAAGAGAGACCAATGCACAAATAGTTCGTCCAAAACAAAGAAACCCCAGAAGCCCGAAAAGCCCCTCGGCAACACCATTTTTAAAAGGGATCTGGTCATAGTCCCTCGTGTGTCTAGGTACTTTTGAAGACGCTTCATTTCATTAACATCATTGTATTCCTAAAAAGTATCTACATAATCCAGTCTCTGTCAGGCTGAGTACAGTAATCCAACATCCAACAAATTCATCTCGAGACCTATTCACAAATCTGGGATAACACATTCACAAAAAAGCGATGTACAACAAGAGGAAAAGAAACACGTGTACGAAGCTAGCACAAACCCGCCTTCAGGCTCTATATCCGGTAGGAGTCTAGACAACGAAGACGGTCTGATTAAGCGACTCCAAGAATGCGGAGGGGCCGGCCTGCAATGTAACAATTAGTATAGCTGCTAGTATAACTGCCTTCAATCCGATGTAATAGATCTACCTACACCAATCAAAGACGCATGGGCGACATTAATTTGGCCTTTTCCCAGGGTAGCTGAGGCCGGCACAGTGACCGTGAAATTCTCATACGGGGGTAGGTTAGACTCGTGGTACACGGGATTGAACGGTCCGTTGTATAGAATTGCTCCGAGGACCTCGTCAGCATCTCTGCACGGGAAGGATGCACATGAGGAGAGGCCGATTGCTACGCCCATCTCCTTGGACGGACTCAGAGAATTCTGCGTACCACATCAGTCTACCGGTTTCCGGGGACCAAGTTGCCATATCTATGCAGTTTCACAGTCTAGAACTTACAGGACGCTGAACTTGAATGACGACTTCCTTGCCGGAATTAATTTTCGAGTTCTCGGTGGGGAGGCCGATTACAGCTCTCTGGGCAATGGCCACGGCGACGAAGAGAATTATGGAGAAGAAGGACTTCATTTTGATTAATTGAGGGGGGGTATGGAGTTGGAAATGTGTCGGTAAGATAGTAAATTCAACGTGTGTTCTGTTTTATGGAGTGTACCCTGATGCGATGATTTTGGGGGTATTAATATACTCAAAATCCGGATGAAGGGTCAGCCCTAGTGACTGGGCATTAAAAGCGTTGAAGTTGATAGGTCGAGTTTCTGCAAGTTTCAGATTCAGTTCAAGGGACAGCCGCCTGACGCTAAGGTCAATCGGGAAACTAAACTGAAAATCTCCTTAAATATAGATCTGCCTTGCCTAGTCAGAATAAACAACCTGACTAGGGTCTCACTTTGTAAGTCCAAGATGAACTCAGCCGTGGTTTCAAACCAGTCCCCTCCCGTATTATTGGCGAGGTTTCAAGAGGTCTCACAGATGAGCCGAGTGCGTTTAATGACTTGCACTGAAGCAGCAACTGGAGGAAGATCAATGTTTACAATATAGGGATGCATAATATGCATTGGTTAGCTGATGTTTCTCCATAGCCCCCAGAACTAAATGATCGCTATTCGAGAGATGAGAGTTTGGTCAGCCTCAATCTAAGGATGACCAGAGCGAATCTCACCGAATTTGCAAGGGTCAGATCCAAAATTAGAATATCTCAAATAAGACAATGATGTCTGGTCGCAATTGAAACCTCTTTGTTCATACTTGCAGAAATGAAGAGACCTGTAGTGATTTGTTGACTATCGTGCTTCTCAACCAAGTGTGATGTTCCTCTACTTTGAACTTCTTCTGGCCCCCGTTGAGATTGTGGTATTACATGTCGATATCGGGACGGTGATTGAAATGCACATAAACCCTTGCCTCGTTTAGGCTACGTATGGGCAAGGCACAAAATCACTTTGGGCGTCGTTGGTAAAATGCGGTGTACCTTTTCCATTGGGCACCTTGGTCTTGTCAATTATGGAGATTTCTAAACAGTAGATTGGAGTGTTCACTTGTCATCGTCTAGATTCACGTTACTTTAGAAAGAGATGACATCGCTAAAGAGAAGCGCCATTATCGTCCTTTATTTATCAAGTGGTAAAGCAGCATCTTTTCCAGAAAAGATTCAGATCGACAGGGGCGATGCCTTGGCTCCAACGCCACATGGTTACAGAAAATAGAACATATGTACTCTACTGACCCTACTTTGATTCCAAAGTTGGGACCGCGCACCTTCCTTGTTGCCTGGTTTATTAGGTTTCCCAGAGCTATTTAGCTTGCTTCTTTTTGTTGATACTCCATATTTCTTCTCTTTGCTCACTTAGCAGTCAAATCAAATATCATCCCCAGGTTTTTGTAATCTCTGCTCTTTTGCCATTCCTGCTTTTGCCATTCCACACTGCTACACGCAGGATATCCACTAAGGATTTTAACTGGACCAAACCTCATCTCCATTCTAGAATGAGGTACATGTTGCAAGAGTTATCACCAAGATACCGATCCCCTCGTCGAAGAAGTGCATCCATGTCCTTAAACACGGCGACCATTTCGCATTAGTGGCTGCTCTTCTTTCTCAACTCCATAATCTACAGTTGCAGTAACTTGATTTTACTTTTGTGTGGTCAATGGGGTCCCCGGGGTTGATGATGAGATATGCACTTCTCTCTGCGTCTGAGAAAGGATCGTCTTAATTTTCTCAACTCTCCATTGTCAAACACGGGCTGAATGTTCCAGGTCTTAAAAGGGCTGAATAAACAAGGTAGGAGGGACTAGGTCACCGTTTCTTCCCTGGTTGTGCGTTTTCATCTTTATATAAATCTGAAAAGGCATTTTTAAAATCCAGCTAAGAATATAGAGCAGGGCCGCAAACGTGGCCGACTATTCTGGTTTTGTGTGATTTGATGTCGGTTTTAATCGCAACATCAAAGCTACCAATTGAGAGTAGGATCCCCAAGAAATGGTAGTACTAAGAAAATGCGCAGAGAGTATTTAAATAATGAATGATGTGTCTAAAGGTAAGTTACGCTGAGAGCAAAGTAGATGAAAAAGCCCATGTAGATGCACATAAACTGGAACCAAGCATGGTGATTGGGATGACCCACACCAAAGATACAATGGCAATGCGAGAACTGCAGAGAGGTTCTCATAAATAGGAGTACGAGGCAGAAACAACAAAGGGAAATGTGCAAAGAGCAAATAGCCCGGCTGCATGTAACTATCCATTCTTGGCCTGGTCCATCAGGCATCCATAGGGTGTGAACGGTGATGATTTTTGAAAACATCAACAACGCAGGGGAGAACATCTGCGTAAGAAAATGTCAATACTGAACTGGAAGAGAAAATAAGAAAGAATAGGAGCCCCACTCAATGAAGCAGAGGACTCTAACCTTCTGGTGGCAAGGACACTAAAAATGTAGTCTGGCCTGTTTCTTGAAAACCTAGTCACCTTTCGGACAGTCAATTTGTCCCAGAGCCCTCGGGGCTTTGGTAAGCTGAACATGTCAATCACAGCCGGATCCCTTTCTAGGCCTCAAGAGCTGCTGCGCCTTGTGCCTGCTTTCGCCTCCACTTCCTTTTACGCTTCGTGTTCTGTGGGTTTCGAAAACACTCGTCAACGGGGTGCCTTGTGAGGCGCTGGTGATAGGGACAGTACTGCTTGGGGAAACCGTCAATTTGATCCACGTTTAGGGAGGGAGGATCTAGGTTGCCGGGGACTAGCAGTTGGCCTCCTAGTCGACATGCCTCAAACTCCAGAAAATCGGTATACGCTTCATCTAGGATGGATGCCGGAAGAGAACCTTTCTCAAACTGGAGTGACTCAACCCATGGAATGGTGTTAGAGTTCACACTGACCGCAGCAAGAAACTGATTGAGAATGAAGACAGTGGGGATATGTGGGGGCCCACAGGCCTGCTTCATCTCTTTGAGAGCTCGTTGCCAGGCTTGCACGAATGCGACGGGTGACTTCGAGGAATAGTACACCGTGTGAATCCAGTTCATGAATTTACGATAAGCAGCAAGGCCCTCACCGGATTTCTTCTCCGGTATCTCAACAGGCTCACTGGGGAAAGAGGCTGCCATGAAAGGATTTAGGTTAGTGAAAGCAAGGTTCAAAGGAGGCGGATTAAAGAGTTGAGAGTAGGGAAGCAAAGCACCCATCATCGGTGGGCTACACGAGGAGGCACCCGGCGGAGTAGGGGTAAGCAAAACAGGGTAAATTGGCAACGGTCCGCAAGGGGCACAGGCAATAGCGCCGGGATCCACGGGCAGAGGACCGGGGTAGTCAAGGTCAAATTGGGCTGGAGCTGGAGAGATTGGATTCAGATCCAAGTAAATGGGCTCGCCCGCAAGTGCAGATAGATCTCCTGAATCGGAGACATGCATTTTGGCTTCAGTGGGTGCCTTTGTGTATGAATTGGTCTTTAATTTGTTTCCACTTCAGGTGGTTTATCTCATTGATGACAGAATAAAAGATATCGGCGTTCAATGGAGGCAAATTGAATGACTTTAGTTGTCAGGTAGATGTAAAGAAGTTGTCAGATATAAGTCGACAATCGAGTCTATGCTCTGTTAACGCGTAAATAGCGCTTTGTGAACGCACGTAGGGAGTCTTATGCCAACACAAAGCTAGACACCTGAGTGTTGCAGTGATGGTAAGGGTTATTGGTTCTTAGGGTTGAGTCGGTTTTTGTGTGTAGACAGAAACATCACAATCTGGTATAAATGGAATTAATATGGACTGGATAACCTAAGAGCTCCGATGAACAAAGGTGACCTCGGGGATATTTCGGACATAATTACGGCAACAAGATACAATTCCAGCACTACGGTTTAGAGGGAACTGAGGTAAATCTTAGAGATCTACTAAAACGGGGTGTAAAGTTAATTGTACCAAATTTGATTTGTTTTCCCATTTTTTCCTTGGACAGTGGACAAAAATAGACCAGGTACGTAAATTCCGATATTTCTTTCACATCACCATGCGGGCAAACTGAAACCTCAGATCAAAGACGGTGCTATCTTTGACCAGCAAGCCCATCTTCCATTCAATCTCGTCTCATTTTTGCATGAGTCAATTCGGATCTTTTTGTTTACTCCCTAGGCCCATTTTTAATAAGTGGCCGATGCTGAGCGAGAGATTCTCATTTTTCTTCAGTCCGAAAAAAGAAACCGGGAGATTGAGGCCTCCCCTCCTATAGAAGTTAGTCAAATCCATGGCACCAGTCTCCATGCTTTGATAAAGGTATTCAAAAGTGGTGAGTCGGGCCCAAAAACCCCAAGGGTACTCAGGACAGTTACCCCAAGGAAAATGGCTGGGTATCCCCGGATTTTTAGCTGTGGTTCGAAATTTGTTTCTGCCGATATGTCAGTCAATGTAACACTGATACAAATGATGACTGTCTATCTTGGGCCAACAAATATCAAGTAACCCTACACAATGGTTGTCACGAAGATTATCATAGGTATGGGTCTCTTAGGCTCCAGCTAATGCCTCGGATAAGTTAGCACCAATTGTGTAGGCTTATCAAGATGAGATGCCAAATCTAGATCTGCTCATAAGACCCGGACCTTTAATGCGTGCAAATGGAGCTATCGAATCCCCGAGCCATGGTTTACAACGTGTCTTGGCAATAGCTACATGAATCGTTTCAGTCAGCAGTTGATCCCGGTCAATTTGGCACAAGGTCCGAGGGCTGAAAGGGGAAACTTGAATGCCAGGCTCCAAGCGATGACTTCGGAGAAAAGGGATCCGTGTCTTGGTACCAATTTGTGCAGGAGTGTCCAGTGTAACTGAAATCTCTCCCCTTAAACTTCGAAGGTCTCGGCATTAATTGGCATCTTGGCTCTAATCTAAAAGCCGAGTTATGCGACCCGCACCGGGCAGCTGCAGGCATCTAAACTATAACCATGTGTTGATCGGCGTGGAATTTTATTGGACTTTTAATCGTTCCAGAAAGATTCTAGACAATTCTGGATCAAGTTAGCTTGCAAAGTTTCATTGGGGAAGTAGAGTCCATGGTTCATCGTAAAATTCGTCAAGAATGACTAGTAAACCGGACTAAGCTCGGAAAATATTTAGGGCAGAGGTCCAGCTTTGACCGGAAACGTAAATTCCATTATTACAGTGTAAACTCATTCAAGATCAAACAGCACTGGAGCTGTTCCAATGAGTTCCACAAAGCCACATGGGAAAGAACGATGGGGGTGGGAACCCGCCGTAATCTGATAGCCACCCATTTTGGCACGTTCCATCCCGCCCCTCCCCCCTCCCTCCACATTATTATCGTACTCTGATCACATTTCATTTCTCTTTCTTGATATCACAGGGTTGAGGCTGGGAATATATGTACTTTTCTGCCCAATATAATTCCACGGCCAAACATGCCACTTTTGTTCCTAGCCGGTCATTTTTGGACGGGATCCGCCCGATCGTCATACCCTCACTACGTTACTTATCCCACCTTAGCTCTATAAGATACCCCTCGAGGCCGGAATGAACTCTTCCTCTTCTCGAGATTTCCAGGAGTGGGTAGATCGACGCCAAAGCAGTCAATCTGCCTCCACCGTGTCGTCCGCGTCAACAAGTATCCTCTTCCCGAGCCCTGCGACATCTCCAGGGTCCAGCTCAAGGAAGCATTCCTGGCAGCTCTACGACGATGTCGTGCGGCTCGAGCTGACTCCTTCTGTGCAGATGTGTGTGCTGAGAAGAAGGTTCCTTCTAGAATGCGCTGACGTCTTGCTAGATCCTTTGTCAAAAATGGCCAGCTATTCAAGCTGAAATACAAATTCATTGACATCTGCAAAGACTCAACGGGCGCATTGAGGTGTCTCGAACTAGGGGGAGGACTAGGCCAGCAAACACCTTTTGTCCATGGTTGTGAGTTGTCTCGCAGATCTCTAAAAGAGAACGGACTGATCATTGAAATCATGGACAGTTGCCAATACAAAACTCCCAGTCCCTCACCTAGAGCATCCAAAATCAGGCGAAGATTTCCCTCTTCGCGTATCTTTTATGGACCAGCAAACTGTTCAATCCGCAAGCACGATCTTTATGACGCAACTATCATATAAATTTGATCATTGGGATGGTATGCGACCGATTATCCGAAGAGTCAACGTGCGCTAACACTCGCAGATTGTGTACGATTTCAAGAATTGCTGCTCGGCTCCAAGTTGGTGTTTATTGGGGGGATGGCGGAGGCCAAGTCCAAAGGCCGGGGTGAAGAGTGCATCAGCCAAAATCTTCGCATCCTCCGCGGGCCCAACGGGAGACAGGTAATGTTGTTCTTTGCCAACTCGCAACGACGGGAGCTCAAACGATACATTTCCATTCCCTGTAAGTGTTTCGCTTCTATCCCGGCCCCGGATCCCTTCCCGCCGTCACCGTGACCTTGTTAATAGCCGGGCTAGTAAATTGCATCGCTTCCATTAAACCCCCCAAGAAGGCCGGGCGGCCAGCCCTACTTGATCTGAATCCGAACTTCGAGATCCTATCTCAAATGAGAAATCTTACGATTCAGTTCCTTGACGATGATGGTCAGTGCACATTTTAAGTTTTGCTCATTTCGGACCATTGACTTCTTCTTCTCTCTCTCTTTTCTAGACTGCGCAGCATTTTGTCAGATGTTGTCATACGACCTGACGATTGGATGACCAGTTAGGATCCTAAATCCCTCAGTCGGGCTATGGTTTTTTTTCATGGAGTTGGAGTTCCTGGATAAGTTGGGGGCCAGATCTGTATCAGTGTACATAATAACCAAGATACCCCTGGGCGTTACATCTTTGGAAACATCGAATTACGTGCCAGAAATACACAAGTTTAAAATTGATTCGAACCATGGAATTCAAAGTTTTGATTAATTGGAATAAAACAGCTCATTTACCAAGCTAAAAAGAGAAAGTCAAATTATCTAAACTCCGAGGTTCCAGATGTCTCAAGGGACAAAGGGCATCCTCGTGGTTGCCCGTTGCCTGTGGGTCGGAACGTCGACAAGTCAAACCTCCGAGACGCTGCACGTGGAGAAAAAAAACCCCTCAAAAGCTTTGGCTCGTTCCAAGGTTCGCCGCTGTTGTCCCGCATTAGCGCGAACAGGGATCACTGGCCTCACAGCCTAACCTCGACAAAGGTTTACAACCCTTGGAGGCCCCCGGGTTAATCGAAGTCTCTTCTACTCCGTACATTCGATGGAAATGTCAATGTCGGGGATTTTAGTCTTCTTTCAACAATTTACTATTCACTATGGGTAAATTTCATGCCCGGTTGTATAAGACTGACCGTGCGCGTGACTTCGACCATGAACAGGTATGGAGATAAAACAACATCCATGGATGGTATACAAGATTACTAACCACTTTGCGATAGGATCGATATGTCCGCACACGACAAATATATGAGACCATCGACAGACAAGGCTTTCAATGGATTGTCGTGCTGGTCGCTGGTCTTGGGTTCTTCCTTGATGGTTACACGGTGCCGTAACCCCCCCCCCCCCCCACCTGTCCACGTGGATCAGACTATTAAATTGCCTCCACACGTACGACATGTGCTAACGCTTGGAATAGCTATTTGCCAGTAACATGGCCTTTCCGATGATCTCCTATGTGTACTGGAAAGATGATACTTCCTCGTTACGACTCACATGCATCAACATCGCAACACTTGCGGGAACCCTGCTGGGGCAAGTGACATTTGGATTTCTAGCCGATAAGAATGGGCGGAAAAAGATGTACGGAGTTGAATTGGTACTCCTTATTACGGCCACTCTCGGTGTGGTCATGTCCTCGACCGGCATGAACGGCAGCATGAACGTCTTTGCATGGCTTATTTGGTGGAGAATCTGTGTCGGTTTTGGAGTCGGCGCAGATTATCCACTCAGTGCAGTGATAACATCCGAGTAGGTCCATCAATCTCGAAATCGTCAACCGTGGAGTAGCTGACCTTGCAATGTCCAGATTTGCCCCTACTAAACATCGCGCCCGCATGATGGCCACCGTCTTCTTCATGCAACCACTCGGTCAGATCGCAGGTAACATTGTCTCATTGATTGTGATCGCAATAGCCCGTGGTAATAGCAGCCCCGGTGAAGATATCACCCGCACGGTTGATATAATGTGGCGCTGGGTGATCGCCATCGGAGTTGTGCCCGGTGCAATCGCGACTTTTTTCCGGTTCGCCATCCCAGAGAGCCCTCGCTACCTAGTCGACATCGTGGACGATCCCGTCACCGCAGAGTTTGATGCGACCACACTTTTCAGTGACACGCCTGGTATGATTGATGCAGTGAGCTGGGGAACCACTGCTACATGCAGCGCTGGTAGCGCAATTCAACTACCCCCAATCTCATCCATTGCTAGCCATTCGACCTTCGATAATGATGACGATGATGAATACACCCGCCTGCCCCCCGCTACCCTCAACTCTCACTGGCGGTTGGCACGTACCGATATCGTGCGGTACTTCTGGATAGAAGGAAACTGGCGCAGCTTGGCTGGTTGCTCTCTCGCATGGCTCCTCCTTGACTTTGGTTTCTACGGTATCGGTTTATCGAGCCCTCAATTCCTGGCCAAAACTTGGGGCCAACTCCATCTCTCCGCGCCAGCACCGACCTGGATGACCGACGATACACCCAATGCCAACATCTACACCATGTTCATGGAAACCTCTATGCGTGGGCTGATTATCCTCAATATCGGAAGTTTTGTTGGCGGCATACTGCTCATTATCTTTGCCCATAAGCTGGACCGCGTTGCGTTGCAGAAGTACATGTTCCTCGGACTAGCGGCTCTGTTCATCGCCCTGGGCACCATGTTCGTCTGTCTTTACTCCCGCCCTCCTGCTGTGGTGACATTGTATATTATTGGCCAAATCATGTTCAACTTTGGTGAGTGGAACCCAGGATACGACCGACGTCTTGAGTCACGCTAACCAACTACCCCACAGGCCCCAATGCAACAACCTATATGATCCCCGCCGAGATCTTCCCAACCCGATACCGTGCAACATGTCACGGCATCAGTGCTGGAGCCGGAAAACTGGGCTCAATTCTCGTACAAATCTTCTCAACATACTATCACTTTGGTGCAGGCCCGGGCAACACATCGACCCGCAAGCACGGCATTGTTCTCCTTGTTTTCAGCGCCTGCATGGTCATTGGAGCAGCAGTCACCCACTTGTGGATTCCGCCTGTTCAACAAAAGCAGAATGGCAGAACTAAGCTGTGGGGTGGTAAGCCCGAGACGCTTGAAAGCATGTCTCTTGGCCGAATGGGCCGCAAGAGTCGAGATGCCGAATGTCGGAAACGGAAATCACGGCATCGAGCGCTTTCAATGAGTGCCTAGTTATGACTACTCTCCACGTCAATCTTTAACCATTCTTATGTACATACTTTGACTCTCTTTTACTTGCATCTGGGACGGCTACATGAACATAAACCAATCTCTGCATTCAGTTCACTCCAAATGAACTTTTACATTGCATTCAAAATCCACACTCAAGAACAGACACCATCAAGCAACCGCTCCGTAGCCACCTCATCAAGATAAAGCGCAACATCCATCCCCCCCTCCCCAACCGCACTATCCATTACCTGAACACACCCATCCATTTTTGGCAAAACAGCATGCACGTAACGCGGCTTGTCCCCACCCACAAAGTCAACCTCATACAACTGCAGCCGCAACCACGAGGTGACAATCGTGTGCTCGGACCCTAAAAAGGCCTGCCACAGCCGCTGCGGCGACACCTCATACGCAGCATCATGCAACATTGCACCCACAGCATCGGCCGTAAACCCCTTAATTGTCCCTCGGATCCGACTAGCTGCCTCGCCTAACACTGCCCGACACACCGAAGAGCCGGCCCCACCAACATGAGTCAGGAAGAGGGGCGATCCGATAAACGTATCAGGAAGAGCGGGGCAGACACGAGGTCGTGTGCCGAGGCTCAAATTCATAAATGTGGGTCTTGAAGAGGCGGCCTGTCCGCGCGCTCGCGTAATAGCTATCCACAAGTGTGCGAGGAGAGCATCCAGTCTAGAGATATCACTTCGACACCCTGTCTCTCGGGCCACAGTCTGTAGTTTGCTTAGCTTTGCACCTGTGAAGTGCAACTGCGTATACCTGACCCTTTTCGAGAAATCCCACGAGGCCCAGGGCGCTGGCTCCGAGGGCGAGACTCGTCGGTAATCGATCTCTGCGGGCGGCGGCCTGGAGTTCTCGGTCGTCGGGATTGAGAATTCCGGACAGCCCTCGTCGGCGGAGTTCCACCAGCTAAATCGATGCAAGGGCAATTTCCGTGCAGTGTCCACGATGTGTTGGTCTGGCTCGGGGCGATCGATATCGCCCGCAGCGCAGCGGTCCAGCATCGCAGGATCGAACACGGGCTCACCCATGAGCGGGGACTCGGGCTGAGTTCCGAATTGCTTTTTGCTGTGATGTGCCCAGAGATGCATGAAGACCATTAAAGTCTGTGCGTCCGCGAGACAATGCGCCATCTGGACTCCGATGACGTAGCCCCCTTGGAGAAGAGTGATTTGGACTTGCATCCCTGGAAGACCGGCACAGTCGCGCAGATTGGCTAACGCCAGTGGGCTGGATGGTAGGAAGAGGCTTTGGTTGAAGTCATCGCCTACCCATGCTCCCGGTTGGGAGCCGGTGGTTGACGAGGCCCGTTCCTCCGCTGTGGGGACGATCTCGTCTGCTCGGATGGGTTGTTCAACTACTGTCCATTCAACACCCGGATCGGTCTCAGTTCCGTATACAATCAATGGACGATTGAACCGTTCTGTGTGGTTTCCTTTGGGGTTGATGGGTGCCCATTGAAGCTGGCCTGCCCATTGAGGGAATTTTGATAGGGTTTCAAGGAAGGAAGTTCGCAGGTGGTTGGTCAGGGTCTTCTGATGTATCTCTGCAGGTCGGTTGAAAATCCAAATTGCTCCTGTTGGAGAAAAGCGCACGACTGTTGCGTCGAGGATAGACAGAGGTGTTGATGTCGGTATTAGCTGGTTGGCTGGTCGCAGCCTTGTAGATTCGATCGTTGTCATGGTATGTATGTGCACATGAAATCTCTTTGGTACCTGTGATCTCTCAATCAATCTCGTTCATTTCATTTTTCTGGATTCATGAGTCAAGATGCGTCACGGTATGCCACTGTGCATTAGCCCCACGCTAAGCTTCTAGTCAGTTGAAACTAGCACAGAAGAAGACCCCGACGATTCGAGAATGGGGCCACATCTTAATCTCAGATAAGATCAGGTAAAGTGGGCTGAAGACAGGTATCTACAAGAGTTCAGAATGGAATGTAGACACAGCTTCTGGGTAATTCTTATGTCAAAAATGTTCCCAGGGGGTGGAGTTCTCTTGATCAATTTCAGTAGGGACACAGAATTTGGGCTTATCGGTGGCTCTGGCCAACCATAACGCCTTGCTTTACATGAAATAAAACACTATATTACAGTGATGGATATTCCAGTCATGCACCTCTCCAATCATGTTGGAAATAAGAGAGCGACGGAAGTATACTTAAAAAAAAAAAAAAACCTAGCTTCCTTCAACAGCCCTTATCGTGATACCTCGGGGCGTTTCAGAGGGTGCCCTCCAGCATTGAAAACAAACTCATCCAAGCTAATCAGGTCTGGAGAGCTGAACATGAGATAAAAGTATTTGAGTGTCTGCGACATCCACATACTGTCCATCGAGTCTTTGAGGGTCAGTTCACTACCCTCATCCGTGACAGCAACAATAGCAGCATTGCCATTCTTTGTCTGCGTCGCACTTTGCATTGCCTGGAACATATCCCAAGCTGTGTCGAGTAGGTCCTCGCGTCCACTGATGCGGTAAAGAGTAAACATGCTCTCGATCGCTTCCGGGCGCAAGTTATAAGCAGTGTCGGGGATCCCGAGGAGCCCCTTGGGCAGATGGTGGTCTTCAATGAAAGTATCAACGTCAAGATTTGGATTTGGTTCTGGCTGGAGGCTGTTCGCCTTTTTCCAGACCTCTTGCTTCCAAAGCAACTCGCTCCATGGGCAGCTTGTCTGCGACGCACAAGGAACAACATCAAACGTTTCGGGCATGATCCCCAGTGGTACGACTTGGTGACCCCAGATGCATCCATCGACCAATTTGTGGGCGATTTCTTGGTGGGCGGGGATGTTGAGCAGTGCGCCTCCCAGTGCAAACATGCCCCCCGCAAAACAAGATCGGTACTGCATTTTCGATTCTAGGTATAGTTGAGAATTCCCACTATCTGTCATGGCCACTCGAACGGTGCCAGACATGAGCACGTCCTTGCCCTCCGGGTTCATTGGTCGGAATAAATTTTGACCTGCGGCCGTGAGTGTAGCATTTTCGTACATATTGCGATACATGGGCACTTGGCCTCCTAGCAAAGCGTATACTCGAGGTAGAGACGTGTAGAAAGAGCTTGCTTCGGCGCCAAGGGTGAAGGTGTCATCGTCGAAAAGCTCTTCTTTGGCATTCACGGAGACAGGCCACAAGCCTGCGAGTTTGGTGGCGTCCTGTTGCTTGTCAAACAGTTCCATGACTCGTTGAGCTGCGTCGAAATATTTTGGGTCACCTGTGATCTGAGATAGCCTTGTGAATTCCACTGTGAATGAGCCTAGTTCTGCACTGAGTACGCTTTCCTCTGCAATCTGCTCTTCTTTGCGGGCAGCTTTATGTGCGTTCCAATGTATGATGGGCATTCTGTTCGGGGTATCAAAGGCGGCGTAAAGCATATCGGCCAAGTCGATGGATTTTACCAGCAATTTCCGATCCGTACTGAGATCAAATGCGGCCAACAGGCCTCCAAGCAAATGGATGTTGACATCATGAGTATTGATTTCGGGCGACGGTGTATCTTCGAACTTTATACGAGTGACTGCCGCCACGGCCTTCTTGAACTCGTCGTGCATCCCCATAATCCACAGAGTGTCAAGGTTGTCAATTAGCGTAGCACCCCATCCCCCCAACTCATTTTTAGAACTACCACTGAGAGGCGAAAGCTCATCTGCCCCCCACGCAAGCGACTGGTATGACTTCCAACATTTTTCAAAGGCTTCTTTCACGGCCAACTGTCTGCTAGTTTGGCGGTCCAAATCGAGACGAGATGATTTGAAATCCGTGGGTTGGACCTTGGGCAGGTTCTGAGGCAATGTAGGTAGTGGCTGGACTTCGGCGACTGGATATCGCACGGGTAGTGTTCTCCATGGAAATTTTGGGTTAATTTCAACATTCAGAGTGACTTTATGTGCATCGTGTGGAGGGGCCAAGAGAGGGTTCCCGTAGTTTTTGCGATGATAGCGGTAAAGTAGGAGCACTAGAAAAGCCCCAAGGCAAGCGCCTAGGACCTGACGTCGAGTACGACTCATGATTTCACGTTGTAATCACATCAACATATTGCAGTAGAGATATGGTCAGCAAGGTCAGTATGGGTGGCGAGAGAATCAAATGGAGTGACACGAGATTTCCCCCGCATTTCCAAGGGAAGTCCTTGTGGGTTGGAAGCTCGTCAAAAGTTGCCAAGGACAGGATCTGCCGTTCTAGACCTCGTCTCCGCTTTGTCCTATCTATAACCGCACTGCCAAGTCTATTTCCGTCTTCGGTTTAAGCCTTGATTGTGACGCCGATTTGAAGGAATCTATTCTATATCCATTAAAGTAATTTGAAGCATTTATGAATCAAAATCCACAGTGGGGAGCCGAGCTCTCCGCCTTCCTCTGCCGGCTATCGAAGAGACTGAAGAAGGGCAAAATATCCAAAAAAAGACATCGAAAAGACAATGAAGAAAAACATTGCAAGTGCGTAAATGCGGCGACTAGTTTTGTCATTTACTCTTGGAAAAGTCGACAAGAGTGTCGTTCATGATAGAGCTTACCCACTTGGCTTAAATACGTGGAATAGAAAAGTGAATAGGTCTGAGACTTATGAATTGGACTTTTGGTACCCGAGTTGAACCGAAAAAAAAATGCAAGACAAGCTATTGTTGACAGTTGGACTGAAGTCCAAAAAGGAAAAAAGAAATTGTAATGCATCATCCGTGAATCGAACACGGGCCTCGTCGATGGCAACGACGAATTCTACCACTAGACCAATGATGCTGGTTGATGCAAGGTGATCCTCTACAGTATAACTCATTCCAACAAACATGATTTCAGCTCAAAAACAGGCAACCAAAGCACGAATCTAGTTTTTGAGTTTTAAAAAACCCGAGTGTTTAGCGTTTTTGGGGGGAAAGCAGGGGGGGGGGAATTCATGGGTGAATGGAAGCAAGAGCCTCTTCAGACTCCTTAACCAATAATTGGATTTAAATAACATATTGGAGCATAGCAATGTCTATCTCCGACTGGATATATATATCCCAGTTGCCTGGAGGTGTCAGGGTAACAGCCCATTCCAGAGAACATCGTTCAGGTAAAACTGAACACCATCATACATGTCACACTGGTAGCTAAGCCCCTCTGATGAGTGTTTATTCTGGTAAATTCCAAGCTGGTGTTTCTAGGATTCAAATACTGTTCAAATGACGCTTCATGGTTCAACCAGAAATCATAGCAATAGAATGCTATCCAAAGGAAGCCAAGAAGTATTTCAAGCAGACCAACTAAATGTGAAATTGGTGAAAACGCGCCTGGAATACATTAGGACACTGGGAATGGCATGGCTAGCCGGGATAAGCTAGGACAGAGCCAGTCTCGCGCTCTGCAGTTTCCTACATGCACCTAGGCACTCTCTACCCCAGCAAAATTGAAAACAACAGGTCGTCTGACTTAAATCTCCACACAAGGCTTCTATTGATTCCTTTGGTGATGTTTTCGGAATCGAATTTGATATCAAGGTCAACAACACTGAGAATGGACAAGGAAATGGTAATATGCGACTGGCAGAATGTGATGGCAAATGGTACATCTTTACCGTCTTCACCTCCATGGTCGAGCTAAAGGGCCACGAGGAGAACAAGGAGAGACCGTTTGGTGCCCGACATGGCGAGCAGCAAGGCCGAAAGAATTGGAAAGATCGACGTATTGATGAAATCAACTTCGAGGGCAAGGACCCGGCGGTATTGATTTTAGGCATGTGGCGATGAAGTATTTTACTCTATAAGTATGAAATCTGACTGAAAGAATATAGGTGCTGGGCAGGGTGGCTTGACTGTTGCCGCGCGTCTCAAGATGCTGAAAGGTCGACACCCTTATCGTCGACCGAGAAGAGAGAATCGGAGACAACTGGCGTCAGCGATACCACCAGCTCGTTCTCCATGACCCAGTGTGGTACGACCACATACCCTACCTAGCCTTCCCGCCCGACTGGCCCATCTACACACCAAAGGATAAGCTGGCGGATTTCTTTGAAACATATGTGAAGTTCCGAGAGCTCAATGTTTGGACCTAAACGGAGCTCAAATCTTCATTCTGGGATGAGAGCAAGAAGCAATGGACGGTTGTTCTTGGGCGCAAGATAGACAACGGAACTGAGACGCGTACCTTGCATCCACGTCACATCATCCAAGCTACTGGACAATCTGGCAAGAAACACCTGCCCGCGTTCAAAGGAATGGAAGATTTCAGTAGAGATCGCATATTTCACAGCTCGGAACATCCTGGCGCGAATCCCGAGTCAATGGGAAAAAAGACCATTGTCGTTGGATCTTGTAACTCGGCAAACGATATTGCCCAGGATTTTGTCGAGAGGGGGTACGATGTGACTATGGTACAGCGAAGCTCCACCTGTGTGGTTTCGTCTGACTCTACCTTGAATATTGCCTTCAAAGGGCTCTATGATGCGACCGGTCCTCCAACCGAAGATGCCGATCTTTATCCGTGGAGCATTCCATCGCGCCTGTTCAAAGCCCAACAGGCCAAAGTCACCCAAGTCACGAATCAGAACGACGCAAAGACCATTGAAGGGCTGGACAAGGCAGGCTTCAAGGTCGATAGCGGACCATCCGACAGCGGCATTTTGATGAAATACTTCCAGCGTGGAGGTGGGTATTACATTGACGTCGGTGGAAGCCAGCTCACTATTGATGGGAAGGTCAAGATAAAGCATGGCCAGGAAACCAGCCAGGTTCTTCCTCATGGACTCCGGTTTGCGGATGGTTCAGAGCTTGAAGCCGATGAGATCGTGTTTGCCACTGGGTATCAGAATATGAGAACCGAGACTCGCGTGATCTTTGGTGACAAGGTCGCTGACAGGGTTGGTGACATCTGGGGACTTGATAAAGAGGGTGAGATGCGGACAATCTGGCGGCGGAGTGGTCACCCTGGATTCTGGTTTATGGGTGGAAACCTTGCTATGAGCAGATACTATTCGCGTTTGCTGGCATTGCAGATTAAAGCGCTGGAAGAGGGGGTGACATCTTGGTAGGTAGTTACTGAGAAGTGGGGGATTGCGTTCGCCACGGGAGTATGTCAATCTGTGGCTGCAACTGGTCTGTGACAGCGAATTCTATATGGCTACCAGTAGCCCAAATGCTTTCGTATCCATTGTCTAGGATTCTAAATAGTTTCGATTGGATATGGAAAAGTAGTTGATTGGGAGAAATGTTTCCTGTTTAACCCACTGCTCAAGATACCATGCATAATCCCCCCCGGTGATTTACAGTCAACCCGACCACCCTTCCTGAAAAGCCACTGTAACACCCAAAGTCAAGACTAGATTATACAACCAAGTATCCAAATCCGCGAGTTCTTCAGAAATAGGCTCCGTCAACCTGAAACAAGTCCGAAGATGATCCAAGATCGAACTCTTCCTCACAGAAATCTCGAACCCAGCCCGGGTCATCGTAGCAATGCGACTTTTCCGCCGCATCTTGCGATCAATCGCCATAAGAACGAATTGTTCGGTATCTGATCCGGATGCCGCATTTCCACTTGCAGAGAGTGCTCGTTTCTCCCACTGCATGATCATCCGGGACTGCTCGGAGTCGCTTGTGTTATCTCCTTTTTTTACAACGAATCGGTAATAGTTGCCTTTCTCAGGACCTGCGGAGCTGGGGATAGCTTGCCAGATGCATTTTGTGTCCCGGAAGTGGATTGATGGCGTGGGGTTGTCGCTATTTGATGTTTCGCACATTGCAGCGACAATATCCTTTTCTTGAATACTGCATGATTTGGTGTTTTTTTCTAGGGACGGTTGTATCTCCGGTTGTTTATTGGTGATGTATGGCTCATTGAGGGTTGCGTAAAGATCCCTCGTGCTGAGCTTTGGACGTTGCGGGAAACCTCTTGTCAGTTTTGACTTTCGGAGTGGTGGCTGCCATATCTCTAGTACAGGCACTGGCCGGTGGTTTGGAGGTATTTGTTGGATTTGAAGGAGTAGTTTGGGGCTGAGTCGAAGTAGTTGAGTTGATTTTGGGGGCGGCCGAGCTATTTGGAACTTGGCCTGGATTTTGGTGTTGATGGGTTGTGACGATGGTCTGTGGATGAATCAGATGTGATTCTCGGTAGAATGAAAATAAATTCAATGGGTTCTTCTTCCCAGGATTGCCTACCGTTCTTCGCTAGTTGTGTCGCTATCATAGTTTGGCATAGTACATGGGGACTCCATGGGAAAGTCCATATTGTCGGGTGTCCAGATTTGAAAGGACAACAGACACAGAAAAAAAAAGGAAAGACTGGGAGCGAAGAGTTGAGACCTGAGAACTAAAAAAAGTCTTTTACAGGAAGATCTTAGTATAAATACAGGTGGCTAGTCAGCTGTTCAGCCTTGGCCCTACCCATACTCGTATCAACGTGCACGAGCCAGAGAAATGAAGTGGATCTGGATACTAGTACGAGCATGGGAGCTTTATGGTTAAAGTGACTATTCTGGCTGCCTGGGAATCTTACACATAATGCTCCGTACTGAGTCTCAACCTACTACGTCTTGGAACTCCGCAGGCTAGGCACCTACAATTCCTTTTCGCGAGGCCACGCTAGGCCCTCCAAATCAGATTTCATGCATTTAAACCTTCACTGCATACGGCGAACGGAGTACGGAGCACTCTATACCACCTTTGAAGTGGATCGATAGCCGTTTTAATGTTCGGCGATGGACATTTCCGAGCCGTGCGCCCGAATGGCCGTGCACTTCTCCAACAGCCCCTCGACTTATCACCCACAGCCACCCCAATGAGATCCCTGCTCAAATGCAGATGACCTCACGCGACCCCACAAGTTGTAATAATGTGTTGCTCCAAAGTGCTTGAAAGTCCGCCGAACACCAAATACTCCTATATAAGACGGCCACTTGTAGCCCCGGAGGTCGGACCGGACGGAGTCCGGCTTGATCGGAAGGTCGGACTTCAAGGCCGCCGGCGCTAGTTATGCGTAACATCATTTACAATAGTGCAGACCCTAAGGGTTCTGTGATCGAAGATGTGTGGAGCCGAACATGCTTTTTGCGCATATTATATGGTGATCTTGCGAGATTCAGGAACCCAAGCCGAGAGGCCCTGTGATATTTCACGCTTCTCGGATTCCTGCAGCCTGTCGGTCATATCGTTCTCTCCATCCGTGATCCGGGCCTAAGACTCGCCCTTTCACTATGCCCTTCAGTGCGAGCAGCAAAAGGGTAGTGGAGAATATATCCAAGGCTGGAGAATACATAGGCCTTCCAAATTTCCATGGCAGCATTGGTAAATGTGCCTTGGAGAAATAGAGGGATGGTTGGAGAACTCCAACAAAAGCCCCTGAGAAAGCAACCTAGTTACCCACGGAAAGACCCCAGACCACACAGATATGGTGAACCGTCACTGCTTCCAGCAAGCCTGTGTCTGGAGAGCATAACAGATGTCAAAATGGCAAAACACTACAAAAACCCCTATTGCTCTCAACTCTCATCCAAGAAGACCGGTGAAATGGCCGATAAAAGCAAAGAGACCAGCTGCTCTCGCAGTCAGGAGTTGATCGAAATCATGCGCTGTAAAGCTCCCAGCTTGAACAGCCTTGTCCGAAGCCTGAAGCGCAACCGAAGCCTGTCCGTAAGGGCCGCACGTAATCATTTCCTGGTACACCATGTCCGCTGTCTGGGATGTGCGACGAAAGTACTGCAAGTCTATAATGGTGTCGAACGCAGCAACGAGAGCAAGACCAGCCCCGACTCGAGGTTGGAGATGATGATGGCAGGGACTTGGAGGCGTGGGTTGATGTGTGCGAGGCGACACATAACTCGGCATTAACATGTCATCTTGCAGGTGTCATGTGTTCGACTGCTGTACTTTCTGCTGGACTTTGAGGTGGGCAAATGGGGTCGCTTTACAGGCGACTGTAACAATGTTGGTGTTTACCCACCACACGGTGTAGATGGCCAACCCGGCTGTGTCTCCGTATTTGAAGACGGTCATCTGGAGGATGCAGGTGAAGGCGATGGTAAAGCAGCAGAGACAAGATATTTCGGCGCTATTGTTCCGTAGCCGGCGAAGGAAGTATTTTATACCCCCCAATTGAGGCGGGCTATTGATTTAACCATTGTCTGTGATGAGTTTAAGGAGATCTAGTCAAGTGTGTTCGGCTGGTCTTGACGTCATCCATCCCAAGCCAAAGCTCGGAGCTGTCTCCAGAGCACACAATCGCGTAATTTTTTTTTTTTGTAGATGGGACTTTTTTCTTTTTGGATTTGATTGAAGCAATACTAATGTCAGATACAGATGTAAGCAAATCGGCTGCAATGCAATCATTTCGAGATGAGTTTCGCGCAGATTTAGGGTCATCTCATACCATAACAAAATCCTAGTTTTGAGACGAAACATTGTCCAAACCACCATGGCCGACCGAATCAGAACGTCCCTCCGAAGCAGATACCTAGTTCCCTGAAACCAGGCGAACCCATTCGCTTCTTGGTGCTTTCCCCCGAGAGGAGCCTATCATCGCTGTAACACCGTGTAACGCCAGTTCCCCCTTGTGTAATACTGGTGCTTATTCCAGCATTTCTCCATTTAATTCATGAAAAGCGTAAAAAAAAAGGGGAAAAGAAAAGAAAGTTACGCGCTGCTCCCTGTGTCTTTTGTGTAGGTGTTGGTGTCTTCGGTGTAAGTGTGGGGGTGATAGTAGCCTGGCCCCGCTGGAGTATCTAAAAATTGAAAATCAGCGAGATGGTTCAGATGTAGAAATTATGACAACTTACAACGCGACTCCAGATCTTTACCACTCCAGGATATTTGCCTCAGATGGTCAAATCCTCGAGCTCGCACTTCGGCCATGTAGACCTTCTGATTGTGGCCCGGACTGAACGGGGTCTCTCCATCGGCAGGTTTGTAGTGCTTAAAGAACGATGCTCCCAGTGCGGTTGCTGCGAGACAGGCAACGAGGACAATGACAATGATGGCTGAGTTGGAGAGCGCCATTGTGAACTGAATAGAAAAGAAAATTGAGCAAGATCGGGGAATTGCTGGTGTTGGGATGTCAGTTTAAATCGTAAGACGTGGGGGTCAGTGCATGATGGGGAGAGCCTCCGCGATGTGGGAACTGTAGATGTCTTGCGATGCGAGACGGACTAGCGCTGCGACAGACAAAACGGAAGATGAAGAGAGAGAGATAGAGAGGGGAGATGAAAGATTAAAGAAAAAAAGAAAAAACAAACCAAATTCTCAGCTGACGAGTCCTGATGCCTCAGAATCGGAATCTGATGTGTTCTTTGTATACGTGACCATCCCATTGGCCATGTTTTTCCAAGATTGAAACAATCATTGTTTCCAAGGTTGAACACTGCATATGTACCCACCAATCATTATATGATTGTGTCGCAGTTGACACAAAAACAAAAGTAGGTGGCTATCGGGTCCATGGATCAAGTTCAAAGCTTGTTATCGAGACTACATGGCAATTTGGAGACACACAATGGACAGTATAAGAGTGAAGAATAAAGAAAAAGGCCTCAGGAAACCCAAAAACGAAAGACCGGCGCTTCCGCAGGCAGCAACCAAGGGCATAGATTTTTGCACCGAAATTTTTTTGGGCACATCGGATCCATGAATCGTTGGCATGAGTTAGTATCCACATCTCGGTCAAAGAGAAGATTGTTGCGATGTTCCTTTAAAAGATCAACGGATAATCTTCAAATGCAGAAAGTTTGCGAGGAACATGGATAATCACTCTTTGTTTCCCTCTATCGGCTATATCAAATTAATACGGGGCTGGATGGTTGAAAGAATCGGAAATCATCAGTTTTTACATAATTCATAAAATCCGAGCAATTTTGTGCTCTTATTGGTCCTGCGGGATTTCTTCTACGGTATAAAAAAATAAGATCTACGTTGGATTAAACTGAATCAAGTATCGTTTCCACCAGATAGCTGCTAGATTTATTCTCACAACTAAAACACTAGGTGAACACCTGAATAGCGATACCAGAAATGCCTAATCACCTACCCGCAAAGAAAAAGAGAAAACCAGATGTTGAGAGTTAGTCGAGCGAGCCAAGGCATGTTCCCAGGTATCCTTATCCTTAGTATCAAACCGAAGGTTATATTCACACAAGTCTTCACTGGGATAGAATGACACGATCCGTGGAATTTGCTTGACTCCCTGGCCATATGCACCCAAGACGAAGGTCGCGACAACTTTACCAATGGGAGTACCAAGAATACAGCAAAATTCTGGCGAAGGAGACTCCCAAGTTTGCGGCTCCTTAGGCCGGAGCCCTAGCCCTTCCCGGGATCTGTAATTGTGATCCTGAAAAAAAGGGCCTGATTTCCCGTTGAGCAATTCTAGTAACACTAACGTACTTCAGGCTTTCGAGGGGAAAATGCGACTCATAGAAAGCCTTGGTAAACTCAGACATGTAAAAGCTCTTGGAACTAGGTGCTCTCTTGATATTATCCATAAAAATCACGCCTGGTCCCATTCGCCCGACCCAAAATGTCAACTCGCCTGTGAGTTTAACAACTGATACAGCTGATACTAGCCGATATATAGGTTCCCGGTTCCCTGCTGGGTCATCAACCGCTAGGCTAAAGATACGGGCCCAGTACTCCCACTCCTCTTCAAGGGACTCCGGGGTGGAAGTGACATACCACAACCTAGGATCGATGTCTGGGATTGTAAGTGTGATCATGGTAATAGGGCATTCTGACTCATCGGTACGCTCCATCTACCGTCGTAAGCAATCTCCTCGTGGCTCGAACTCGGGGTACTTGGGTGTCATTGAGAGGAAGTTGGCTCCAAGCTCACGAAAACCTGTTGAGATCGAGGAAGGATATGTGGAGTTTTTTCTCACTAACTCAAGCTTCTTGACAAATTGTTAACATTTTGTTTTGGTCTGAACTTTGCATTATATCGTGGTTATAGTTGAACCGGCTGCACACAGGAACAAAGAGAAATTAAGCGTACAATCAATGCTATTGTGTGAAAGACGGTATACAAACACCAACAATTCCGAGAAAAAATGAAGAACCAAAGAATGAAGGAGTTGAAGAATCGTTCGAACAGCTACAAGGACAGAGTGCTCGTTAGAAGATAGTGTAATAACATTCACCCATTTGAAACTGGCATCCGCCCTCGAGTTGAGGTTGGTCTACAGAATAATGACAAAAATTCACTGGCCTTGTGAAATTTAGAAAAAGCGATCTTCTTCGGTGTTTCTGTCACGATCACAGCGTGTTTAACCTTGCAGTAGTCATATCATCCAATAAACATGGCGTTTTCTCATTGGTGTGCTCGCCGTTGCCTTTTCTCAAATACCAAAATCCCGGCTGCGAATTAAAGGTGAGTCTGCCTGGCCGGCTGCTATAGAGGGTGGTAGCTGCGGTTGTGTTGTTTCGGCGAACATACTTGCGATGCACTTATCCTCGATTTCGTCTTATCTGTCTTGGGACAGTACTTGATCGGAAGCATTTGACCTGATAGTGGTAGCTAGTCAGTGAAAACAGCCGGCGTTTTTGCTTAGCTCGGGATGGTTTGTGGGGGCCTCAATCTTATCTAGCTTCTCTGGGATGTGTAGGAAGGCGTCGTCTCAGTCGAGGCTATAGATATAGATTTTGTGTGCTGTTAGTGTGTTCATTTGGGATATGCTGTCTGCAGATGTCGACATTCTAACATGACGAGCTGCACATTTCACAAGAACCTCCCCGAGCCCAGGAATTGGGACTTCCGGGTCTTGTTGGACAGAAAGCCAGGTAGTACCCATAGCTTTATCTCGATACACATCACCCTGTACCCGGAGACGCCTAGGGGTTTATTGTAGCCATAAATCAGAAATGTGCACTTTCCGCCTCGGTCATCACGATCAAATGGAGACGGAGCAGGGGTTTCACACTCGTGAACGATTGTAGGCACTGGAGAAAGAGACAACTGAGGCCGTCATCGTTACAGATAATCCGGTTGTAAGCGTCCCGAACGCCCGTTGGCCTGGACATGGTGATAAATAGGGTAATAGGTGCTTTTCAATAATGATGGTTGACAAACCCTGGTTGGTTGACTTGAGTGCCCGTTATTCTTATCAGAGGTAACGGTGTCAATCGATGTCGTGGCCATGCCAACGACGAAGAACTTGCCATTCTAGTACATCATCCCCACAATGTGGAGATATATCTGGCATCGAATCTGGCGAGCACCATGCCGTCTCAAACAATAGATTAGAAAGCCAGGAAGTCCGAGTGTATTGGGGTTTCTACGGCAGAAAAGAGAGAGTGTGAAGAACTTTCTCGTGTCTAGCACTGCATCGAATACAAAATCTTGGAGCCATACGACACATATCTGCCCTTTGATTTGGGCTAGGTGGACTACAGCTACCTGCAATGCATGTACCCATGTAAATAGGCATATATCTGAACTCCAAGGTACCTATCAGATGATCTGTAGTGCAAGTGTTAAAGTACAAAAGTGAGTTTATCTGCAAGTTCTTCAATGAAGATATCCAAACCGGCATCTAAAAAGCACACAGCCTACAGTAACGGACTGTTGATCTGGTTAGCAAGATTAATGTTGAATAGTCGTTTGGTTCATTTCGGTGGTAGCTCCTGCCATTTTGGGGTTGAAAAGAGCTCAATAGGCTCGATTGTCAACTCCAGGGGACAATGGGTTGACTCGTTCCTTTCTGGTAGTCGCCCCTGCCTGAAATGGAAATTCACTAGTCGAGACACACAACGTGTGTCAATTGTGTCCATCGTTCTTTCCATTTGTGCAGTGCCTTCCGTTTGGGGACTCAGGGTCTCCTATAAAACCCCCCCCCC